GGTTTGTTTTGTTGGGTTTTTTGTTTGGGTTAGGGAGGGGGGGGGTGGGGGGATTCGAGAGGGTTGGGGACTGTCGGAAAGGGGTTGCTTTATTTCGTTTTGGTTTGTTTGTTTTGGTGTGTTATTTTTTGTTGGGTTTCTTTTTTTTTTTCTTTTTTTTTTGGAGGGACGGGGGAATGTTGTTTTTGCAGGTGAGGGAGAGACTTAGAACTAGTTGACCCGATTTAGATTCTAACTTCTAGCTTGTGTGGTCTAACCAGATTCATAACCTTCTGTTCCTCACCAATACGTCAATAGGTTAATAGACCAAGACGTCCCTCCAACAAACTCTCCTTTTTTTACAATACAAATTTTTTTTTAAAATGACTATCTCGCCATTTCTTTAAGCTTTTTTGCCATAGTATAATCAAAACCTGTGAAGAAAAACTAATTCAATATGTGAGTGGTTAGATAAGTGTTGTTGGGGTATACCACTGCTAGGTCATTCTTCCTATACCTCTTTTGCTTCTGGGGCTGTTTGTCTTGCTTTCCTTCCCCCTACGCCACCCCCCCCCCTCAATATTTGTTCGGAGGTTGTTGTTGTTGTTTTTTCACTCAAATAAATAAACAAACAAACAAACAAATGATGATGGTTAGAGGGCACTACTGGTATGTTCCATTTCTTTACTTTCCCCCTGTTGTTTCTGTCTGACTGTCTGTCTTACTTGTTTCCAGCACAAGATGATTATTATTTTGTCGATGTGCTTCTCTTTACTCAAACAAACAAACAAACAAAACAAAAACACAAACAAACAAACAAACAAACGAGCAGGGCTAAAACAACTTTAACAACATGGTGAGTTGATCTAAAAGTGGGACGTGGCCCAAAAGGAAGATCCAAGTTGTTGGAAAGGCTTAAAAACTGTCCAAACAACTCACATTCAAGATTGTTAAGGAATTCGAACCAATGCTACCAACACCTTTGCGCAGCGTGATTACAACAGAGCTTAATCCGCTTGTGAATAAGATTTATATACGCAAACTGCTAAATTCTTTATAAAAATGGATTAATCCCTTAAGATAATCTTCTTTCCTTTATGCCCTCGGTCTATGCCCTACGGAATAATTTTTGTCTTCAATACAAGTGAAGCAATTCATGTTTTTGACATGGTTTGCAAAACGTGAACAGAAAACGTGTCCTTGCATTGTGTCAACTCGTTAGGCTTTAGATATTGCACAAAACTGTCACACATTGTGGGAAGCTAGTTTTACTGCACTGAATATATCACACAATGTGCCAAGGTAAGACCGGGGGT